CAGAATTGCTTATTACTTTTTTGAATTCCCTCTCCTCAGGTGTTACTTGGCTACCTAAAAGCATCTTCTACCACCGGTTCTATAAAGATTTGCGATCAGACCGGCAAGATTGCAATGCATGTTGGCACCACACAAACCGCAACGAAAGGCAATTATAATTGCATAGAAACCCTGCTGGATTGGAAAGACTGTCTTATTCAAGTCGACAAATTTGATGTGGTTATTGAGTCTATTCAAAGCTGTCTATTCCAGACTATTTCAGGAGAAAAGAGAACACGAATTTATATTAGAACTTCATTGGATTGTATTAAGATGCTTTTACCGAAGAAGACTCCTTTCCATGAAGCTACAACTGAAAATATCGGAAGAGAATTGTATAAAAAGGCGACTTCGAACGAGAATATAGAATGTTCTACAGGTCCAGAGCAACAGGAATCGCTGTCTAACTCAAAACAAGCCCTCGCTAGTGAACCCAGTGGATCACGTGATCAGGMAGTCACGTGTGAAAAACCTCTGAGCACGTGTGTATTYACGTGTCAATTACTTTTTCTGGTTCGACATCGAGAAAACCTGCAGCTAAAAAAGAAACGTAAAGTCATGTACGCATGCGCMGTGGACGTCAAAGTTCTCGCCTAYTCGACCAATAAGATGCAAGRAGAAGATGTCCCTAATAATGACTTGTCCCGTATGGTGCTGAAGAACAAAAGTCTTGTACTWAGRCTTCAGTCCGAAGCTGTAGTGTTCCTTCCMTTTTTACATGATGGCTGCTTTTATTTGTTGACAGAATCAGCTGTCGAAGAAGGCAACTCAGTTGCCATGAGTGCTTTAAATAGCAACGTCAAATCTGTTTTAAACGTCACTTCATCGATGGATATCACTTTGGCRCGTGTCACCAAAGATGTCGTGACAGAAGAATGTCATGCTACTAGAGAGAGAAGCGAAAAGAGTGATGTCCTTAAAGCTGTTGATGAAGCTAGAGAGAAGTTTCRATGTGACGAAGAAGACAAAATGCAAAGTGTCGAAGASGTTTTAAGCAGGGCTRTACACCCTGATAAGGGGTGAGTATTKCAGAATGAGTTTCATGCCTTCTTTATCATTGCAAAGCATTATTGACACTGGAGACTGCATGTAAGGAATGAAGGTAGGACGCAGAACTTTATAAGTTATTATTAAAACAATTGGCAATGGAAATGTTTACATGTTTACTACAACAGTTAAAGGTCCAGTGTACACTATATGCTTTGAGGCCCGCGATGACCTGAAGGCGGCCATTTTCAGTTTACCGAAAGTCTATAAATTGTACTGTGCGTTTCGAATCTTTGATCATCTCACTTTTCTAAGCACTTTAAACGCTAATATAAGAGTCTTCAACCATCTGACATTCGTTTTATGGTGATATTTAGATACTAGAAGTATTTCGGTGTAAATCATAACAATAACAGTGCAAACTGGGCTTTTAAACAGTTAAAATGCGAATACCTCATTTTCCTCTTTCAAATCCCCTTAGATCCAAGAGCGAAGTAAAGCAAGTAAACTTCCAAGGAATAATAGTCCGACGTGAAATGCGCCAGTCAGACACTTGCGGTCARCTCTTACCYAACAAAAATGTCGTTGTGCCTCGCTTTGGTGCTCTGGAACAATSCCTTGTCAATCAAATGGAGCTAGGCTACGGCTACCTTGGAAACAAGACGCTGTTTCTTCGAGTGCAGGATCTGTGTACTCCGAATACTATTGATGTGTATGTTGACTTGAGTACTGCGCCCTACATTGACGGGTTATTACCAGGTATGCTTGCAGTTTTGCAAGRCTTGTAGCCTAGTGTTAGTGCGCAGTAGCAGTAGTAGCTAGTAGTCGCTTTCGAGATTATGGAATATTGAACASCTAGTATCGTGCTTKCAAATAGTCTCCTTCACGGTTCCCTGCGCCATCTTGAAAGGTAGCCGTGCCTTTACATCGAAGCGAGACAACCGTTGAGCGTGCAATGATAGAAACCTGTGAATAATTGTGAATAATTGTCTGTAGGTGTGAAAGAAGGTTTCTATCATTGCACGCTCAACGGTTGTCTCGCTTCGATGCAAAGGCACGGCTACCTTTCAAGATGGCGCTGGTAACCGTGAAGGAGACTATTTAGCGAGTTTTCCGCACGAGAAAGTTTTTATCTCTCTCCAATCATTATCATCATCAAAGTAACTGAGTAAAGATTCTCGCAGTAAGGARGAGAACCAGTATACAGACTCACATACAGGCTCCAAACGGGACCAWAGCGGCGATAAACAAGCAGTGAGAAGATTKTACAACCCCATTCGAAAAAAAGCGCTTTCAAGTTTAAGTAAACCTCAGAAACATGCATTTTTCGAAAGAGATCCTTTGAGAGAATTAARCTTCGACTTATGCATAATAAGTGTACATCAGCAACAAATTTAAAGCAGTGGACCATGCAATTTCGTTAAATTTGGTAGAGCAGTAGTATAATAGGGGCAGAAATAGCCTTAGTTTTGTAGCGAGGTTGCGGACGGTGGTAATATCTATGCTTTTGCGCTCCTCATCGCCACCACCATTATTTTGACTTTTCTCTATCAGGCACCGTTGTATGCTGTCGAAGGTTCCTTCGCAAGGTATCTCGAAATTCCAATGTGTATTGCTCATTCGAGGCTTGCTCGTCACTCACCGTTCGGTCCTCAAGCTTCACTGATCAAATCTCACCACAACCRTCCACCTCRAACGTAAATCCACAAAGCACTCTGCTTTCTGCCGTCCCGAATCGGTTTCTAATCGATTTAGTAGAAGGCGAGTCGTCAGGTAACCGGATTCACACAATCTCAAGGTGCCGATGCCGTGTGACGGCAATACAAAAGGTGRTAATGCGCTGGCATTGCTCCAAATGCAGTCAGGTGATTGAACGAGAGGAATGCCCGCGTGGATGCCGRAGTGAGATTSCTTTCAGATTCTGTGCAGAAGCAAGGTGAAAAACATACTTTAATTGATCTAGTTGAATATGAATTTATATTGTAATATTTCCTTTGAAATAACAAGGCTTTTCACTTTTGAACTCTACTCGGTTTTCTCTAATGMAAACAGTCAGTTTATATTCAAAGGCTGTATTTTTTGATGCAGCATGTTTGTTTGCATACTTTTTATTCATTACAAGCGGGTATTACTTTCTATTTATTATATACAATTCATATCGACCTATCGACCTATTATATACATATTGTCAATTTGATCTAATTGCAGTTTCACAACAAGAGAAAACCTGGTATCGATATGTATATAATAAGCAAATTTATTTACCTAACAGGGATCATTATTTGAAAACTATCCATCTGCTTCATATCCATTCTTTAAAGTTACACATCCGTCGATGTATTTATTATATTTGATCAACCAAACATTCATTTTACAACTTAATTCGCCTTTCGTAATCACTTTATGCCATTTGTAAGGTGCCTGGTTGAGGACGGTACGTCTGAGGCTTTGGTCTATCTCTCGGACGATATGGTAGCTGTTCTTCTAAGTTTACCCTCTCAAGAATTATCRCGATTAAAAAGCTTTGCATTGTCTCTTGGAGAGCTTGTTTATCAGCGTCATTCTTATGGATTTGATGGYCAAAATAAGGTATTATGTCTTCTAACACACTGACAATAACCGCCCAATATACTTTTTACCGTAATCGTACCTAATRTCTTTTTGAAAAATATGGTATACACCTACTTGCAGAAACGTTGTCATAGAAAATAGAACATTTGAATTTAGTWAAAAGGGATAAATTAAAACAAGACAAAAGAAAGCGTTAAGCCTCAGTGATCTTCCTTTGTCTTTTTTAATTTATTCTTTTTTTACTAAATACAAATGTCCTATTTCCTATGACAACGTTTCTGCAAGTAGGTGTATCTTTTGTTTCAATCATAGCCTAGTCAATTTGTAGTTGAAAAGTGCTTTTAAGTGCGTATTAAAATACGCATTATTGCAGATCAAGACATAAAATAATATTGTTAATATTGTTGATATTGTTTGTTTCATTTATAAATAGTTTGATTTTTTTTTTATTTGTCAGAATGACAATGCCAATCTTCTATCAAAGCAGTATGAAGCAAATAGGATTTTAACCGAGCGTTGTGTATCACAGCAAGTTCGTCGATCTGTTATCCTATACTGTAAGCCAGTGGGTAGTATAGGTAGACGAACCGATCGTACAGATCAAGGTGAGGTTTTCATTCTTTTCTTTAAATATGCTTCCATATAAAGAGGAACAAGCATGTTAAGCGACTTGAAATATCCGATCACAATCCGTTTCCATCTGTAGGTTTTAAAGTCAAATCTTACAATATCCTCATTCCTTAGTATAAAAGTATATTAAAGATTATGTTTTTGCTTATATTACGCTGATATTTATTTCCAAACATTATGATCAAAAGCTCTTTATACATACATTGATTGAAACAGAAAAAAGAATACCGTAGAAAAGCAAAAGTTCTTTTGACCGTCCGTTCTTTGGTGTTGGTTGGTRTGAAACATCTTATGATCCGGTTCACATTCATAGCTCCTAGTGTCGTCTGCATTGCCACGCGACCAGTGCAGACAAAGTGGCGAAAGAGTTAGCTATATAGAGAGCCTTCAATCAATTTATGCCAGTATAGCATTGCAAACAGTGAAAAAAACCCTAACGAATATTTTACAAACATCTTTTTGTCAGAGTATGATACTAGACCAATAATTATCAACCAAACCGAGCACTCGACCTTCGTTCTGCCCAAGCTTCAAGTTAAAGTAATTGAAATGGCTGAAGTSGACTACCAAGAMGAGATAAAGCGAATGTTGTTGGCTGTAGACGAGCTATGTAACGATGATAAGTAAAATGTTTAAAAAGAAATAAGTAGTGTTGATGTATCTAAGGAATGCATGGTGACATGGTGCATAAAGCCTTTTGACGATATTATGTGCTTGCATATATGCACATTTCATTAATTCATTTGTTTATTTATTCATTTATTAATTGTCATGTGGATCTTCATTATCATTGCCCACCAATACGCCAAGAGATTTCAATAAATCCTTTCTGATTGGTTAGTCGATTACATTGGCCTGGGGGGTTCCCCTAATTTGCATTTTCGACCTTCACTCTCCTCAGTAGAGTCGCACTGTTTCATCTTAGAAATTTCTGTAAAATTGTCTAGCAAAACTCAATAATTTGTACAATAATTCATTTATATATATCATGAAGTGGAACAATTGCCTGCCTGTTTCCTATGTGGTACTCTGGTTACAGAGGCTTCTCAGTCTCTCTCTCTTTTCTGGGTAAAAATATATCTTTATTGAGCWGCAGCGAAGAGCTCGATGTCGCTGCTTCGACGGGAATGCGACCAAGAAAACATTTGTTTGCACTGTCATCTTAAAAAAGGTATAATTTCATATTGATATTTTGGTCTGTAATTCTTTTGTTGGGTAGCTTGTCTTGCTAACTCAGTTSCTAACTCGTATAGATCTTACGTTTCGACCTCTAAACGCTCGATGCATCTGTATTCTGACTGAACTGTATTCTTGAACACTTTGTGAAGTTGTTCGCACAAACATGTTCATGGAAGGCAATATTAAATGACACTTAGCACTATTACTACTAAATGATTCGAACTAAACAGTGGAAAATAAGAATCAGCATTTTATAGTTTGTATTATTAACACTTTTAGTGTCTGTATCTTAGTTGATTTGTGTTCAACAATCCTGTAAATTAATGCTGCTGTAATCATGAACTACATGAAAAATTCAAGAAAGGAAAATTGAAATTATCTTTCTACCTGAATAAGTCAAAACGCGTATTTGGTTACAAACTTTATTTATAAAACATGACTGATCAAAGACCAAGTACATGCCTTCATAAATCTAATCTAAAGAAATTGTAATGATTACATTATAAGTTCTTAAAGCTTCCTATCATCTCTCTATTATTGCAATGAAAAAGATTACTCGTAATAATGAAACCAGTTCTAAAAGCTATTAAACTATTTCGCAAAACTATTTTGAAACTATTTCTAAATTCTTAAAAGCTCTTTTTGTCTACAAATCTTGAATTGATGCAGCGTTTCTCAATGGTAAAGCAGTTTGGCTTCCTAGGACGTCAACAATTATCCTTCGCACTTTTTTGATTGTGGCATCGCAACATCTATTGGTTACGGAATCCATCGTATCTCCTGACGTTTAGCTGTCTGGTCAAAAGTGAAATAAATTAATATAATAAAAATCAAACATTAAACGCAAAGTTAACTGAGTTAAACAGTGAATAAATTAACATAAATTAACATAGTCACAAGTGCAAACATGAGTAAACGCTGACCCTTTAGGAATGGTGGTGTTGCTTAGTCAACATCAAGTACTAAGCATAATTCAGAAGATGCACTTAATCTCTATTTGATTAGCTCACATTTTTATGAATCTATTTTCTTTAAAAGTTACTAATTTCAAAAGACGGCAGTTTATAAGTCATACACAAAAATTAAAATTAAAAATCCAACAATGAAATCTGTCTTATAATCATTAACGTAATAATAAACTCCAACATGAATATAGAATGTCTATTGCATTCAGATTAAAAAACGGCATTTTTTCCTTTTTTTGAAAAAGCGTAAATAGACGCAATAATTTGACAAAGACATATCCATTCTGAATATGTAGGTAAAACATATAACTTTTATAATTGGGCAGAATTTCAATGATAGCCAAGTAACTGAAATTCATAAACTATGATGACTTACCGGCATGTCCTGCAAAAACATTCAGGAAAACTCAGGTCATCGTTTTCTACAGCTACGTTCTTTTTACTTGTACGTCTTTTCCTTTCCCGAGAATAAATGAATGTCGGCATAAAAATGATGGATATTATCCCAACTATCACCACGAGGATAAAGATGTAGCATGGATCCATGTTAAGGAATTGTATGAGTTGCATATCCTAGCTGGGATGTTTGTACAGAAATTGATCCTTTTGCTACAAAATCAGGCCTTATTTTACGACTGTTCAGTCGGGCGACTGATTTTATGGAAATAATCATCTTATCATCCAATCAGGTTTTCACGCTGCGCAAGTGACAACTAGAAGATTGTACAAAGGTTATAGTTTCGTAAACTGGTGACCCAGGGGCCTATTCGCAAAGTTTGTTTGTTTTACCAAAAAAATCTGTCAACGGTAACAGGAAACAAGTGCGAATGCGTTTGTTCRGCCGGGACAAAATTTGTCCTGGCCGAACAATCTTCAAAGTCGCCGCTAGGCTGCTCTGGAGCCCTCCAAAGCTGATCGCTGCTAAAACCACCCACAAGTCACATACGAGTAACATACGAGTAACATACGAGTAACATACGACTACATACAGGTTACATACGACTACATACAGGTTACATACGAGTAACATACGACTACATACGACTACATACGACTTCATACGACTACATACGACTACATACAATTACGAAAAAATAAAAAATAAAACTTTTAAAATGACAAAAAAATGACCTTGAAAATAATTCGTCTATATCGGTCCAGGACCCTGATGACAGAGTAGCGGCACTCATAGGGTTTTCATGTCTCTGGACGAACTCCCGGACAGAATGTCACGGGCGAAAAACTATATGTCCACTAGGAGTCAAAATAATTTACCGAAAGCATGGTAGAATGTAAATCCAGTTTTATTAAAGATACTTTACTGTTTTTAGGTGCAGATATTCTGTCATTCGACCAAATTTAGTTGAGCTTACTTCGTTCGTTGAACAGAAAACGATTATACTAAAAAGAGAGTAAAGTATCTATAATTCGACATGACATTTCCCGATTATTTTTGTCGGCTCGATTTAAGAAGAAGCTTTGAATTGTCAACTGAATGTTGTCAAAAGGAAGACTATTCTACACCTAAATANCCTCCCTCAAAAGTTAAATAGACCGTCCCTTAAATAAGTTTTTCACAGTTTGACTAAAAGTACTCTAACATAAGTTAAATACCTTAACATAATTTATGTGCAAACAGTAAACGCTATCCTTATAGGAATGGTGGTGTTGCTTAGACAACATCAAATTCTAAACATAATTCAGAAGATATGCACTTAATCACTATTTGATTAGTTCACATTTTTATCAATCTATTTTCTTTAAAAGTTACTAATAAATGTGAAAAAAGGCAGTTAATAAATCACGCACAATTATTATAATAAAAATTAGAAATCCGACACGGAATCAAAATCTGTCTTACTTTCATCAACGTAAAAATAAGATGTAACGCTAATATGAATATATAGTGTCTATTACATTTGTTTTGCATTTGTTTTTTTCTTTTTTTTAAGCGAAAATTGATTCAATAATGTAGCAAAGACATTATTTCATTATTTCATGGTTTTCCTGTGTTTGCTCTAATCAACATCATGAAAATTAACTGTAAATTTAATATGAATATAGAATGTTTACTACATTCAAATAAAAAAACGGCATATCCATTCTGATTATGTAGGTGAAATATATGACTKTAATAATTGGGTAGAATTTAAATGATAGGATAAGTAACTGAAATTCATAAACTAAATCTACATGTCATGATACTAACCGGCATGTCCTGCAAAAACATYCAGAAACTGAACTCAGGTCATCGTTTTSTTYMGSTACRWTGTTTTTACTTGTACRTCTTTTCCTTTCCCAGGAATAAATGAATCGTGTCGGCGTAAAAATGATGAATATTATCAACACTATCACCAAGAGGATAAAGGTGAAGTACGAATCCATTTTAAGGAATTGTRCAAATTGTATTTCCTAGCTGGTTAAACTCCGGACTTGCTTTACGAGTGTTACCTCTCTACTACCTCTTAATTAATTATCATCCAATCAGCGAGTGTTTCGATTCGCTGATCGTTTTGAAATCGATCCAAATGCCAGCCATGAAACACATGAACTGACGTGAACTGGAAACGGAATAACACATTCCTTACTCAACAGGTAGCCTGCGTAGCGGCAGGGGCTAAATTAATGCTGCTGTAATCATGAATTACATGAAAAATTCAAGAAAGGAAAATTGAAATTATCTTTCTACTTGAATAAGTCAAAACGCCGCGTATTTGGTTACAAACTTTATTTATAAAACATGACTGATCAAAGACCAAGTACATGCCTTCATAAATCTAAAGAAATTGTAATGATTACATTATAAGTTCTTAAAGCTTCCTATCATGTCTCTATTGTTACAATGAAAAATAGTATTCATAATATTGAAGACAGTTCTAAAAGCTATTAAAATATTTCGCAAAACTATTTTGAAACTATTTCTAAATTCTTAAAAGCTCTTTTTTCTACAAATCATGAATTGATGCAGCGTTTCTCAATGGTAAAGCAGTTTGGCTTGATTTAGGCAGAGTGGAACTGGGACATAACAATTATCCTTCGTTCTTTCTTTCTTGTGGCATGGTAACTATTTGGTTGTGCAATCCATCATATCTCCTGACGTTTAGCTGTCTGGTCAAAAGGGAAATAATATAATAACTAGACGCTTNTTCGACCAAATTTAGTTGAGCTTACTTCGTTCGTTGAACAGAAAACGATTATACTAAAAAGAGAGTAAAGTATCTATAATTCGACATGACATTTCCCGATTATTTTTGTCGGCTCGATTTAAGAAGAAGCTTTGAATTGTCAACTGAATGTTGTCAAAAGGAAGACTATTCTACACCTAAATACAGTAAAGTATCTTTGATTAGACTGGATTTTCATTCTACTGTGATTTTGGTGAACTATTTGACTCCCAAACATATAGTGTTTTGTGCCGATACTCTGTCGTCAGGGTCCTGGACCGATATAGACGAATTATTTTCAAGGTCATTTTTGTCATTTTAAAAGTTTTATTTTTTTATTTTTTCGTACTTGTATGTAGTCGTATGTTGTCGTATGTAGTCGTATGTAACCTGTATGTAATCGTATGTAACTCGTATGTAACCTGTATGTAATCGTATGTAACCTGTATGTAGTCGTATGTCATGCGTATGTAGTCGTATGTAGTCGTATGTTACTCGTATGTGACTTGTGGGTAGTTTTAGCAACGATCCTGGCTCAATAACTAAGTACAAAATATATCGTAAGCACAATATTTGCCAACGAGCCAGCCGAGCGAAGATGCGAGGCTGGCGAGGCGGCAGCATCATAGAGCCGATGCACGAAAAGGTTATGGAGAACGAATCTCGATTCGATGTAATGTAATGTAATGTAATGTAATGTAACAATGGAATTACGAGTCAACCAATTGGAGCACACAATAGAACTCCGATCTAAACCAATCGGGAGCCACGATAGTCTCGTGGTCCTGGCATCACAAGTCGCTTGCGAGTCGTCGAAGTACGCCATAGCTAAAGGAAGAAACTCTTGAAGTTAAAGTACTGAA